GAATTCCCTGGAACTGGAGTTACAGATGGTTGCTAGCTGCCATGGAGGTGCTGGGAACTGAGATTGGGTCCTCTGTGCTGACATCCAGTGCTTTTAACCACTGAGTCCTCTCTCTGGCACCATTTTGTATTTTATGAGAAGAGTTATTTAACATAACTATACTGATTCTTAAAATATTTTCAAATAACTATTAATTTTTAAATTTCTTATAATAACCTTTAAGATAAAAATTTATAAACTGAAATATCTAACACATAAAATAACAAAAAGTTTAAAAGTATGTATTTTCTTAAGAAAGGTAAAATTCCAATAAGATTTCCCTACAAAAAAAAAAAATCAAAAAAAAATTCTAGTTGTATTCATCACCATTAGAGATATCTTGGTCTTCATCCAAATGCTGAATATGTAGAAAAGGTAGAATAATTAATAGAAATCAAATTCTGGACTATGACTTCCTTGACACAATATCACATTATTCATTCTTATAATAATGTGCAGCAAAGAAGTAAAAGTTTTCCTGAAGGATGTGGTTGCTGCAGACCTGTGGAATGTATTGAAGGTTCTAAATGACCACCTCGGGGTAAACAGAAGATTGCAGTGAGTTTCCTTCTCATTATCAGTTCTGCAGTACCACTTCTCTAACCTCATTGAATCCTGACAAACACATTAACTAGGCTAGTGCTTGGGAAAACTCTAGTGGTGTGATAGAATGAAACAGCCAGGCCTAGAATCAAATGCTACTATCAATTGTCTTGAAGCTCTGGAAACAGAAAGAAATGGACTCCAATGTCAACATAATAGTGGCTGCTCTTATGCAGTCATTTAGAACCCTTGAGGTTTACCTTAAGAACATGACCAACCTTTAACTTATCCCTCAGATGCAAGAGAAAAATTAAAATATTTTTGCACAGCAGTAAATTGTAAAATTAAAAATGATATCAATTGCCATAAAGTATAGATCAACAATTGAGAAAATTTATTCTTAAAAAATTTAACGGACATTCCAGCCAAACACTATTTTTAAAAACTAGCCTAACCATTTCATTAATGGTATAGGCAAA